ATTTGCTTTCTTCCAATTTGATGCGATAGGTCATTTACTCCAGAGACTACTGAGCTATATATTTTTATATCAGAATTTTGCTTAGTAACGAGTATAATAGCCACGTATACAACAATAGTAATATGGTCTACTATCAGCAAACATTGAATAATTATAACTTAAATTACGTGGTCCGACTTTATTAATTTGTAAGGGTGTCCTTGCGATTTTATATATCGGATTTGTTACACGTCAATGAACCGGTGATTTGACAGATGGAGGTAGTTTCTCGGTGCTATGATACAGGTTAAATAAATTTCCTAATTTCAAAAACCCCTAATACTAAGGCTTTTGTATTTGAAATTGTAGAAAAAAAACTAATCCGTAGGAATGACAAAACAAGTAAAAGAAGATAAGAGTTACGATTTATAAATTTAATCAATTAGAAAATTTGAGTTTTAGGCATTTGAAAGTAACAATTTTTTTAATGTAATAAAATTTCCGGGCGTCCTGTTTGTGCAAAAGTCCGTTAAACGTGATATTCACAAGCAACAATATTCATAATTATTTTACAATGCCTCAACTAACAAAAAAAAAGCTGGACATAAAAAAGATCCTCGAATAAGAGAGGAGAGTCTAAATATGGTAGGAAATATAAAGTATGTCGAGATAAGAGCAGCGACATTTTACGTATAGATATTGTTGTGGAAGAAGCCTTATATGTCTGTTTGCATATTAATATTTGTTAGTAGTTTCATTGTGTGTTTTTTCGTGGCAAACAATTTTAACCAACGTAAGGCCAAATATCAACGACGATGTCAAGTGGAAGAATGATAATATTTAATATTATCCCCTATTGAATATATAAATGTAATGGTTTATCATTCGCTGCGACATTACCATTGCTGACTCATGTTAGATTGCAGGGAGTTTCTTAAATAAAAAATTTGTTCTCACTTGATAGAGGTTTGTTTTTTTTACTTCGATTGATGCTTACTTTTAAGCATTCCAACATTATTCCGTCTCTTCGTAGCGATGTCGTTGGGATACACAAACTGTTGGTTTCAAGAACTTGTTTGTTGTCAGTTGCGCACAACAAGCCATGTGCACATCCCGCTGATCACTCTTTCATCAATATTCAATTGCTCATAATTCAGCACATTCACCACCGCATCTTTCGTACTCTCTCATAACGACGGTAAATATAATGCAGCGAATGTCCTTAGAAATGGCAAGTCGCCGAGAATAACACATGTTTCGTTATTTTGTCAATCACATTCGCACACTCTATCCTTGCCAAAGTCCTAGCTTGCGCTCCGCCAATTGTTTCTGGACGTTCTTTGTGATAAGCTCTATTGCAGCATGGTTCTTTCTCCAAGCTTCATGGAATAATCTAGAAATACAATCACGTTAGCGTGAAGAAGTAAAAAAAGGTTGCTAGATACGAGACTGTATAAAGATTGCAAGTACCACATCCGCGTTCTTTACTGTTGGGTAGAATGATAATTTAACAAACGTCCGTATTGCTATATTACAATAACAGAACTGTTTTAATACGATTACGCGTTGGACTTTATACGCCAATTCATAATTCAGACTCACTTTGAGTACACCATGGATATCGCGTCCTCGCTCATTTATGTCTCGTTTTACTATAAAATTTCATAAGATAAACATTATCCAAGGTCCTTCCCATGTACAGTCAACTACTGTCTATAGTCACACCTTTTGGCACAATGCAAATTTCGGAAAAGTGGGGATTATAGACAGAGGGGGATTATAGAGAGGGATTATTCCTATGTTCTACTAAGCAAAATGGCAACGGGGTGGTTTGGGAAAGTTGTGACTATAGAGGAAGTGACTATAGACAGTAGTTGACTGTACTGGCATCTTAACAAGCAATGTATAACATATTAATATATCTGCCGATTCTCGCTTACATCTTCTAGCCAGCCGAATATCAACATCGGTATCCACAAAGATCTAAGGCCAATAGTTTGTCTTTAGAACAATTCGTGCAATCGAATTAAAAATTACAGATAATAAAGACGTGCATATATATTATATATATGCACCTTCAAATCCATAATATCTGTGATGGTTTTGTCGTATAAAGCAAAAATGCCTTCAAAGATGATAACGTTGGCGCCACAAATGGTTGACGTCTCTGGGCGTCTAGAATGGGTTGTGAAATCATAGGTAGGTATCTCCACTCGCTTCCTACAGGGTTCCCCCATTGTTGAGAACAAAATTAGTGCCATAACATTTATTACCAACGGAATGACGTGAATAAACAATTACCATTCCTTAAAGTTTGTGCTAGCGTTTCGCAATCGAATGCGTTGGGATGATCAAAATTGTAATCACTTGGTCCGAGAAATTAAAGGGACAGAGTAAAATGAGCATATAAATATGTGTAATTTAGTCTTACTTATTTATGGCAGCTTCAAGTTCTTCGGGAGTAAGTGGCTTGTAGTATGAATCCATGCTTAACATGCAAAGTATATGCAACTATAAAGAATACATTAGGGATGGGGAAACAAAAACCTTACTGGGCAACACTGGTTTTCCCAGATATTCGACCGTAGGAATATAACAGCATCCGCCGGATTGCAGAAAGTGAGTGGAGTAATTCTCAAAATCAAGGCCACTACTCTTAGCACACAGCAATGACAACGACGAGGAAGATAATAGTAAGAGGAATGCAATGAAAAAATGTGTATCCAGGCATTGCTAAAGCCAAAGAATATTTTAAAACGAGACTGCCAGCGCTAACGGACTTGTGGATGCAAATGCGAACGGAATGCAAATACAATTTTGAGATGTGGTGGTTTTGGGAGCTGTACTATTAAACAGACATCCTATTTCCATATATCAGAAAGTCATGCATCACATACACAATTTCCTTTACCAAATGCATTTGCCCTCACTTCACATAAAACACAAAGTCTCACATTACCAAGTATTTCCTTAGCATTAGATGCTCAAATGTTTTCTGCTGGACAAGCATATGTTGCAATTATAATTAGTAGTAGTAGATGCCCTTCTTGGAACAATGTCCACATCAGTAGCCTACATCATGGTGCTTTTATAGTAGACCTGAAGTAATAGAAGAATATAATCATTTGCTTTCTGTAACATAATAATTATAATAAAATGGGGCGTGCTGCAACAAAACCAGACAAAGTGAACATTCTGAAATAAGAGGCTGGTGTGGCTGAAAGTAAACTAATTTGGCTAATACTAATGACATTTTAAAAAGTAATAATGGTGCTCATCCATAATAATAACTTATGGACTTGTTAATTTTAATGCTCCCTTTATCATACCAGAAGGTGAGGAATATAAATCATAATGTGATAAATATAGGATTATCCCTATATAAAATTATTAATATGAAACTAATTTACATCAAATCCACTATTACTATGGAACCCAAGAATTACAGCACCATTAGAAGCATTCTAAAAAAAGCTCAAGGTGAAAAGATTGCGCCTTATGTTTTTAAAATGAATGACACCAAAATTCTTGAGAAATATCTAGATCAAGAAAAAATTGCTCATGAAATTTATCAAGAGGAACGGAAAATCATAACTAATAAATGAACCTTAACACCAGCACATGATGAACCAAGAAAGAAAAGAAAACTAGCAGAATAAACAATCAAATCATTATTAATCATCCTCTTCATCTTCATCTAACTCATCTTCTAATTCAGAAGGAGCATTTCATCATTGGAGAATAGTTTTTCTTTTATGAATAGCTCAAATAATTCCTCCAAACAGTAAGAGTAAAGCAAAGCCAGATAATCAAGCAGCGGGATTATTAGTTCTTCAGAATACTTCTTGTGGTTCACTATCCTTAAAGGGCTTTTCATACTTTTTAGTAGCATGATTTTGTCCGCCTAACTTTTCTGCATAGTATTTAACAATTCCCTCTTTGGTGAATTCCTCTCCGTTTCCATAAATGGATCGATTTAATAAGATTAGACTATCTTTACTGTCTTTATAATCTTTCATCTCCTTTAAGATGCTTTCTTTGAGGTTACTATCTGCTTTTAGTTCTTGTAAAGCAATGGTTCTGATTACTACTTCAGGATCCCGGGTAAAGAATCAATCTAATCACTCTTGATTGTTAGCATTGGCTTGGGGGAGGTCATAAGTATCATCCACTAATTCAGGTTTTTTAGCTAGAGTTTCTTTACAGTATTTAACCAATTCAGCTTTATTGATTTTACTGCTTGCTCCAT